AATATTTTAACCGTATATTAATAATTACAAATTTATTGCAAAAATTATGTTTTTATGGACATCAACATTGCGTTTTCAATTATATTTTCTTTAAAATTAGTTAATAAAATCATTATATGATTGACTGTATTATTAATGCATAGTAAATGTTAATATTATGCAAATAATAAATTTTTATATTTAATAACAAGGCTTTCAATTTTTAGATAATATTATTTCTATTAATAATATTAAAATTTTAAACATTGTTTATATACAATATAATAACAAATTTTGTTAAAGATTTGTATTTGTTTACTAAACAAACTCAATATATAAAACATAGTGTATTTTGTTATCATTTAAAATAAAAATTAGTTACCAGTATTTTATATATATTAATAATAATTAAGTACAGATTTACTTAATGATGCAACCTTTTTATCGTTATAAATATTATATAATTTATTTTAATATTTTTATAAAGATAATTATTAAATTATAAAATTTCAATATTAATACTTAACAGTTATAACAATTTTGGTTAATTTGTTAAATAAATTTATAACTATTTATTTCATTATAGATATTTGCTCTAATTTAAAATAAAATACTATATGTGTAACATTAATAATTAATAAAATGTATGCAAAATGTTAATTAACATAAAATAATGATGATAAATATTGTGTTATTAATTATTATTATAAGCTATATTGAAATTCATATCAAAAATATTATATTGATAACGCAATTTGAAGCCATAAAATTATTTTTTTAACATCAAATATATTTATATATATATATATATATAGTTTAGTGTTTGTTTATTAGTTAGACAAACGTCATCCTAAAAGCACCAATAAATTCAGTTATTTATCATTTTATTTATTCATTCAATGGAAAGTCAATAATGAATTCTTTGCAAAAACGGTATTACATTTTGTCTGTAATATTAAATAAATAAAAATATGTTTTGTATATAAATTGTGCTCATATGTATAGAAAGTATTTTTAATTATAATTACTGTCAATAGTAACTGTTTTATAATGAAAAATTGTTATTAATAATTAAGTTTATTGTCCGATAAAAATACTGCAAAATTAACTTATAATAATAATAATAATAATATTAAATAAATAAAAATACACACAAAATCTCTGACTGGAAGACCAGTTATATCCGATAAAATCAAATTATTAACAATGCAATCATTATTAGTAATGCTATTAATAATAAATTTATAAAAATGATTGCATGCATTTTTTTATCACAAATTTATTTTGTTTGATTTTTTAAAATTTCAATATATTATCTGTTGATAAAATTTTTAATATTTATTAAAAATTAAAACAAAATAACCAAACAATTATATCACATATTCAATAAAAAAAGCATTACTTTATATTTAATAATTTTATATAACTTTCATAAATCTGTTGTCAATTAAACTTATTATTAATCTAATTAATGTATTGTTTAAATAACTAAAAAAATGTTTAATAATTATATCACAGATTCGTATAATTTAATTAAACGGATTGTGAAAGCTTTTGCAAAGAAATCATTTATATTAATAAAAAAAATTGAAATTATATTATAGTAATTCTATAGTAATTCTATAATTTCTTCAAATAAATAATTAATAAAAAATAATCGTTGAGACAATCAATGATGAAATTACTTTATATCTGCATTTTTATATATGCATCAATTATTTATATTAAATAATAATACTTTACATATCATTAATTTAATTTTAAGGCACATTATTGTGTCTAAATTGTCTAAATTGTTTATTATAAAATTCTACTATTATTTTAAATGAATATCAACAACAATTTAGTTCACAGTATGGTATATATTAATATTAATTTACTCAGAAAATGAAATTAAAAACAAAAATTGTGACATTTGTCACATTGAATACAATATTATTATTATCTGAAAAATCCAATGATATAAATGGGAAGACAACTCTCTGTCATTAAATACTCTTTGAAAACTTAAAAAACATTTTTTATATAGATTTTTATATACAGTTATCTATATAAAGATAGATAAAATGTAAGTAATAATGTAAAGTTAATCGATAGATGGATATATTTATTTTCAAAATTTATTTTGTTGTTATTGTTTATATCACTTTAAGTGATTTTTCTCTCTTTAATGTCAATGGTTTTTATGCCATCCATTTCATTGCTTATATGTATTGTATTATATTATTATTATTTTAAAGATTTTAAATCATTTAAACAAAATCTTTCTGAAGGCTCGTCTAAAGTCGCGATTGAATATAGTGTCTGAAAATAAAGATATATATCATAAAATCGTGTATAAAATTATATGTGAAATAAAAATTTAAAAAAAGATCAAATAATAGAAATTTAAAAATCATTAATTTCTATAAATTTGTGGCTATTTCCTCACAAAAATAAAAATGTATATTTATACTTACAGATAATAGGATTGGCGGCTATAATAAAAAAATGAAAAAGTTAAAATTTATAAGTTAAAATAATAATTGTTATTTTTATTCAATTATTTAAATTTTATTTTTATGGTATAAATTATCATAATTTTGTTAAAAACAAACTGACTTTCATATCATCCTTCGAGGCATTAAAATAGTTGTATTGAAAATAAAAAAATAAAAAATAACATTTTTGTTATGAATATAATGTTTTATGAAAAGATTTTAGTTTTTAAGAAAGAAAAAATTTAATTAAAATAATTCATTTGATATATCATAGTCACTAAAATTTAACATTTAAATATTATATATAAATAAAAAGATTATAATAAAATATGTTTTTAAATAAAATTTAAGCATAATATATATATACAGTATATATATATATATATATATATATATATATAATTTATAGAAATGGGAAAAAGAGGCAAACAATTTTCTTTTGTCTAAATATCTATCATATTTTAAACTAAAAGTAACATTTAGTTTGCAATAAGAAAAGTTGAGACAACATTTCATTTATTTTTGATATGTTTTGTACTGAATGTGTTTATATACATTCATAAACTTTGTTAAGTTAAATGTATATAAATATATGTGTGTTTTGCTTTAAAAAATTGTTTTATGTCTTTTATGACACTTAAAAAATCATTTTTTATTAAATGAAAATAATAGTATTTATTCAAAATTTATATCTACGATATATATAGAGTAAAATATATATTCAAAAAAAACTTGAAAAGTTTTGTTTTCTGAAATCTATACGAGCCTTTTGTGTCTGTGTGTGTAGCATTTCATTTTGCGAATTTTGAAATTCTGACTTCAGATTCGGTTAGAGGACTACTAATAATGTATTGAAAAGTTTAATTAAAATTTTGATATCTCTTCGGGAACATAGACAAAATGGCGGCCAAAGTAAAAAAAATTTTAAGAAAAATTTTTTTAAGTATAGATTTGAATAAAGCATCAAAAACAAGCATAAGAAATATACATTAAAATTTTGATATCTCTTCGGGAACATAAAGAAAATGGCGGCCAAAGTAAAAAAAAATTAGGTAAAAATTTTAACGTTTAGAATTGTAAAGAGTATCAAAAATATGATATAATATATCAGTATATTTTTTTAAATGGCGGCAAAAATATAAAAAATATAAAAATTTTTTTTTAAATATAGTTTTGAAGAAAGCATCAAAAACAAGGATAGAAAATATGCATTAAATTTTGATATCTACGGGAACAAAAAGAATAAGTATAAGCGGCAAATGTATAATTATAGATTATTATTTTGTTATACTAAATCATTTGATACCCCACATGACTATAGTTGTTTATTTTGTCATACTGAATCATTTGATACCATACATTACAATATTTATATTATGTATATTTGACCAGTTTTTAAATTTTTATATTATTATATAGCCGCTATAATTATAAAACTAATAGTTTTCAATGTTATTCAAGTTTTTTTTCTGAAAATGCTTTCTAGCATTCTTAACTGGTTTATTATAAAATGCAGATTTATTTATACAGTATTGCACATTATTAACAAAAATTATATTATTAAAATTTATAAATAATTAAAAATTGATTCTTTTATTTAAAAAATATTATATCATTTATTAAACAAAAAATATCTCTTGCATATTGATATCAATGTTTAAAATCAATAATTAATTTAAAATAAATTTAGATTCTTTCATAAATTATTTAAATCTTTAGTACAGAATTATTCTTAATAATAATTTGATACTATTTTTTTATCATAAATTATTTTTATGAATTAATTGTAATGTTTATTTCTCTATGAATATATTAACATAAATTTTTATAATAAACAAACACATTATATATTTCTAGATATTATTATATATTTTTAGATATTATTATATATTTTTATCTAATTCGGTAAATGTAAGAAGTCTTTGTTATGTTATTATAATATGCATAACACTATTATATGATATACTGTACTGTAAATTATATTTTGCAATAATATAATAATAATATTGTATTATTAATAATATTATTAAATATGAGTTTATAAACTTTGGAGAACTAGAGTCTAACAGTTTATTCGCACACTTGTTATGAATGCAATTGTCGTCTGAAAACTTGAATTACATTTTATTAATTTAAGTTATAGTAAGAGCTGTGCAATAATAAAGCCATATATTATAGTCTATTCCCCAGTCATTCATACAATATTTGTTTTAGGCTTTAAATTAGCTGAGATATAGCCGACATTACACTATAACAGTGCAAATAGTGAATCACAAGAAACCAACAAATCTATAGTAAAAGTTAATATTGTTTTTCAATCTCTAATACGATGTGATCACTAATCAGAGTAACATTACTTTTGATAGATTCAAATGGGCTTTCATTCAATTTTATGCTTTTTTCGATACAAATATACGTATCTATAAATTTTAACAATATATCAATCTATCTTATTATAGCGTAAATAATTATATAACACATTTTTGTTGCCAACAAACCTAATGTTATTTAATATTACAAACTATAGAATATTGTATTTTAATATTTGTTATATAAATTATTATTTTTTATAGAATCATAATTTGTATAACTATATAATATAATATCTGTCAAATTTTATCTAATGATATTTAATTAATTGAAAATTATATATAAAATATTATTTAAGATTTGTTAAGTCATGTATTCTTTGATATTAAATTATTCATAATTGAATTAAGTTAAATAAGTAAAACTAAGCAAAAAGACAATTGTTTGGTAAACTCAATAAATCAAACAACATAATAATTATTGTGTTATTTGGTGACTATAAAAAAGACAAATAAATATTTGAATAATACATGTATTGTGTGTCTTGTCTTTAAGTAGTCGGTCAGTCTATCAATCAATATGTTTGCCTTGAATTTCATTAGCTATACTATCCAATTGTCTCAATAATATACAGTAAACTACTGTACAATACTGTAAATATTATTTTTGTGTTATAGCTTTGGTAAGCATTAAAAAAGTGGTCTATCAATAGACACGATAAACAATTTCAATTACTATACATTATATTGTAATCATTGTTAGCAAATTATATCTGATTTAAAATTAATCAAATCACTGATTATTATAAAAATAAATATACAAATATTTTATTTACAATATGTTATTTAATTTAGTTTATCAGCAATTATATTATTTTCATACCATATGTTGTTTATAAAAATTTAATTGTTTAAAATAATGATGATATATTTAGTTGCTTTAAAAATACTTGAAATATTATATTAATATATTACTCATGATATTACTGTATAAATTGTAATATAAATTTGAATACTACTGTAGTTATATATTACTAGAATTGACAATAACATGAACTATAAAAACTATTGTATTATTATTTAATATTTAAATAAGTTTTCGTCTGAAATTTATTTTTAAACGATTAAATCATTAGAGAATAAAATGAATTCATTGATAATAATATTATTATAATAAAGAAATAACAGATTCAATAGATTCAAACTATTTGTGAGATTAAATTAAACGATAGGCAATAATAGGCAACACTTTATTATTAACGTGTGAAGGCATCGCTTAATTATAACTGCAATTTTGTCTTTTGATTAAATATATGAATGAATGAATCGATGCTTATTATATAATATATCACATATTAAAATATTTTATACACATATTTTATTATAAATAATATATTAATATATCACATATATTAAAGTTTTGATGCATTCGACAATTTTCTTGTAATTGATCAATATTTTATGCACTAACCTATTAATTATTTAATAATAATATCATATATAATACTTTAGTATATATTATATTTATTGCAATGAGTTATATTTTGCAACTTTTTTGTGCAATATTTAATAATTCATTTAAAAATCTACTACAGAAATAATATATATGTGTGTACTGTATATAATGTATTATAGAATTACTTATTATTAGACAGTATATGTTTGAGAGATAAAATATGATAATATTTATTATATTTATAATAATTAACTTATTGATGAAATTTTGTTAAAACAATGTTTTGAAAAAATTGCTTAATTTATTTATTAACTTTTATTATTTTCATTATTTTTGCTATCACATATAAATAGACTTTATTGTTACAATATTTTGATGTTTATAAGTAAAATTAATTTATGCATTTTTATTATATTATTAAAAAAAATTAAATTTAAGTTATTTTCCTAATTTATTAAATAATATATAATAATTTATAATTACAATATTTTTTAACTAGAATTTATTGTCAGTAACTGTAAATAATAATTATTATATAATGATGTACAGCGTTAACTAATACAGTATTAAAATGGATATCAATTGATTAATGTTACATAACTATAGGTAAAGTGTATGTATTGGCAAAGTTCTACATATTTATTATATAATAGTAAATCATATTAAGTAATAATAGTTTAGTTAATAATACAACATATTTGAAATGAAAGTCAGTTTGATATTTGTTTGATATTATAGATTAATTAATGAGTATTACATACCAGAGTTGCAATATCCGAGCCAAAAGGCCACTGAAAAGTAAGCCGAAGGTATGGCATCTTTGCAGTCCTGGCAAAGGGCGGCCAACATATACAGGACAAAGAATGGGAGCCACGCCGTGATAAAGGCCGCCATAATTAAGCCCAATATAAGTGTAGCCCTTCTCTCCCTGGCCTTTGCTATCTTGCGTTTGTGTCTTTCAGCGTCCGAAGTGGTACTCCTGAGTCCGCCTGTCGTCTGATTCCTGCACTGAACACTTCTGCCGCCGCCCTTTATCGACGACTTTTTACTCTTGACGTTATCATCACTGTTCTCGATGTCATTATCCATACACATGTCTGACTCGTCATAATCAGCGATACTTAAGGTCGAGCCATAAGTTTGTGATTTCAAGAGTTTAGGAGCACTTAAAAATGTTTTGGATTCGTGTGTAATAGTGTCGCGACTCAGAGGACTTTCTGCTGCATCCGAGTCGTCGTCGGTTGATATGAATCGAGTTTCGGTAGTCCTAATGGCTGAACCATTTTGTTTGGTCAACCCTTTTGGTGGAACAGTACTCTCTGGTAACACAATTGTCAATTTAGGTGGCTTTCTCTTGGTTTGAACACCTGGAGAACATTTAGTTTGTTTTAAGCACTTAAACCTCACATCACAATCATTATTGTCCACAATTGCGTCCACTGGTGTCGGTGTTATCGACTCATAGTTATTATAAATAATGGAAATGTCTTTCTGTGGTGTCGATGATTGTGAATCAGGTATAGCTTCGACCACAATCTGTGGCGGCGATACTGTAGTCGGTGTACCCATTGGTGGTGTCGTGCGTTGAATTTGTGGTCCGCCGGTGTGCGGTTGTGACCCTGTGGTGAAAGAAATAGGAAGCGGTGAAGATTCTGGTGTATATGGTTTATAACCAGCAACTCCATCATCTCCACCTTCATTATTTTGATCGGTAAGATCTGGTGGACTGGGATTGCTTAGACTCGTACAGGTAGTGGTTGTCGTTGATTTCTCCTTAATGGGGTCGGCGGTCACCTCCTGTTGAATCTGCAAACGCTTTTGTTGCACGTGTCGTCGGGCGCGAGCGCGGGCCGCGTGAAATATACGCGCGTAAACAAACACCATCATTAGGGCCGGAAAATAAAACGAACCGATCGATGAATACCTATCAAGTGGTATTAGATATAAGTAAAATACGTAAATTTGATAATTAAACAGAAAACGACATAACAATCACTTACATGACATAACCGACATCTTCACTGACATTGCATTGAGGGAACTCCTGAGAGACCATCATATCTGGTTTCTTCCACCCGACCAACGGTGGTAACGATACGACGGCCGATAGCATCCATACAAAAGCTATCATAAGCGCAGCCCTCGAAGGGGTCCTCTTTTTTAAATATTTGACGGCCTGTGTTATCGACCAATATCTGTCTAAACTAATCATAAACAAGTTGTTTATGGAAGCCGTACACAGAAGCACATCCAATGCCAACCAGATGTCTGATAAATCATAAGTTAAATGAAAATAATCAAAATTTCATAAAATTAATTATAATATTATATTTATAAAAAAATATATCAATATTTATAATAAAAACTGTGACAATTAGCGTTGTGAAACTTACCGCACCAAACTTTGCCAAACATCCAGTAACCCATTAGCTCCCTGGCCAATGAAAATGGCATAATTACAAGACCTAACAGGAAGTCCGACACAGCTAACGAAGCAATGAACCAGTTCTGCACCGGTTTTAACGATTTTTCAGTGGCAATGGCAATACAGACTAACATATTTCCCACCACTATTAGTATCATTATACAAGTTATGAAAAATGCTAAAAGAACTATTGCTAATTGTGTGTAACCGCTAGGATATGGCATACCATCCCAGTTACGCCACCAGGGCTTGTACTCAACGGTGCCATTTAACGCAGTGGTCAGCTCCAGTATGTTGGTCGGCACCGTTACACTGGTGGCGGTTTCATTGGTCAATAAGTTAATTACATTTTCATTGCTATCATTATAAAATGTGAACTCCCAGCTCCTGTTCCCACTATAGTAGGACTGGTCGTTCAAAAGTTTATTGTATAGTTCATGCAATGAGGTTCGGTTGGACAACCATTCGCTCACTGAACGGTTGTTATCATTGAATGGCTGCTGAAGTATAGGATTTATATTTGCGGCAAACAGTGTGTTGTCATCCATTTATTGTCCAAATATTTCTATTTTACTATCAAAACCACTCAAATAATAAAACTATTGGTTTAATAATAAATAAATAAAAAATAAATTGAAAACAAACACTCAGTTTGAATATAAGGACAAACACTTCTTTGCAACTATTGTTCAGATGATTTGTGTCTACACTTGGATTCTGTTTTAAGAAACAAAATAAACAAAGAATAAAAAATTATGAATATATAAGAGCACCGGTACTTAAATAATATTTATATACAGTATATATATATATTAATAAATTTTTTATGTTTTTTTTAATACAAGACAATTGTAATAACAATTAATTATAAATACTGGAAATATTGTACAGTATATGTATAACTTATTATTATAAGAATTATATGCATGATTAATAATTATATATCAATAGTTCAATATTTTTCAGTTTTATTAAAAATAACTGAATTTTTCTATATATAAATAATTTATAATTTTTATGATTTAAAAATACTGGACAATTGTATTTCCAGTTAAAAAAAACTGATACAGATCTTAAAAGTGATAAAATACTAGACGTATAACAACTCTAAATGTAAACAAAAAATATTAAAATGCATAAAAACTGTGGTATTTATTTGTTTGTTATATTAATAAATCTAAAGTAAAACATAATACATATATTTATTTTTATACATTACTATGCTATTTTACTAATCAATATATGTAATTTAATAAACATAAAATAATTACAATTATAATTGAATAAACTTTAAACTTATTATAATTAATCAATTAATTAAAAACTATTTAATAAATTAAACATTAATTTTACGACGAAAATCGTTAATTATTTATAAAATTCTAATTATATTATAGAAAGAGATAATTACTATTATTTTTTAGTTAGAAATTTACTAAAGTAATGCAAAATTTTATATAAAACACTAATTAATGATACAATGTTTATACAGTATTATTAGTAAGTGTTAGTTATAAGTAAAATGGCATTTAATGTAGTTTTTTATCATAAAATTTTGTTTCATTTTAATACAAATACAAATCTTGTTTAAATTCAATTTCAATTAAAATTATAAGATTATAGTAATTAGTATATTATTTAGTGTTGCATAAAATAAACGTTAATTTTTGTGTGATATTATGTTAATATTAATAGTAACTAGTATAACTAAATTAATTTATTTTATTCTAGTAAAAAGGCAATGAAATACATGATAAATTATGTAATAAATCAATAAATATTGCAAAAATTAATAAAATTAGTTATTTTTGTTAGTAATGAAATCAGTAAATGGGATCAAAACAACAAACATATAATGTTTCAGATCATCAAAACAGTTGGTAACTTATGACTTATTAAAATCAAATTTATTTTTTCATATTATAGTATACTATACTGTATACTACAAATGTTATTACCCAATATAACCACATTTGTTGTCAACAAAATAAAAAAAAACAAAGCATTGTTACAACCTATTGATTACAATTTATTATCATCGTCTATATTAATATATATATATATATATAAGAACATAATAATTAAAATTTTAATAATAAAAAATGTTTTCAAAATAATATTATAAGACAACATAATTATTAATTATAGTCCCTGTATATATTTTGTCATATTATTTTGTAAACAGTATCTAAATAATCTTTAAATTACTATTTATACTTTATTAGTATTGCATATTTTAGTTATCAAAATATTTTAAAATTGAGCATTAAATTAATAACTAATTAATTAGAAATAAAATTGAATAAATTAAGAGAATTGTGTATAAATTATATTATATTAATAGAAAGTTTAGTTTAATTTTTAAATGTCTCAGTTTAAAATTTAATAAAAATTCAATTAACATAAAATGTAAGTCTAAAAATAATTTCAATTTATATATGTCAAAAAATCAATTTTTGTTTTATATAAGTATATATATATTATATTTCATACTAATAAAAATGTTCTTATTATATATTTTATGAGATAAAGTATTACTTTAAAATCAGATATAATTTTGCGATACGAGATTACAAGAGATTTTCAAAAAAAACTTGAATTACTTTATTGATATAAAATATACTGTATATAAAGTGTAAAATTATTAATACATTTGATATATTTCTGATATAAACCTTTCTCTCTAATACTGTATTTGTATCAAATATATCAATAAAAACAAATCTTTAATAAAAAAATTCTTTAACTCAATCATAACTTATTACAAAATTTTAAAGAGATTTATAGAGATTTAAACTTTTTTTAAAACAAAATATTTTTAACACTAGTCATTGAGTGATATAATCCTAACATTTAAGTGAAAATAATTAAAATTTATTTTTGTCTTTCAAAATATCCGGATTAAAACTAAATTGTATTTTCAAACCAATTATTTGTCAGTTATTACTTTACTGTCAATTTCATAATTCATAATAATTTTAATACAAACATGTAAGTTATTTTAAAATACAATATAATAAAAATTGTTTTTAAAATTAGAAACAGTAATAACTATCTAAGATATAGTCCATAAGTTATACATTACTTACTGTATTTCACAATAATTAGTATATAACAATTTGGTTAACTATAATAATTTTTATATTTTCATTTATCAAATAAACAATTCAATATAACTAAGTTTATTTATAATTTTGATTAACACCTAATTGCATATTTATTATTTGACCATGATTAAATTTAATAAAATTATCACAATTTTGCAATATTTGCGTGATTTAGTTGCTATGGATATATAAATAGGTTCATGAAATGCGTTATTTTATAAGTAATTTAGACATTTCACAGATCCTCTAAATAGATGACAGTGTAATACAACACAAATATAAGGAAATTGAATCAATTTTTGTTTTTTGTTTTTATGACCATTAAGTTAAACACAATTTTCAATTCAAACATCCATTAAATAACAACAAAACAAGAAAATTAAAGGACATGTTATCCCATTTGTTTTGAACTTAGTGTTGATTATTAGTCCAAACAAACTGTTTGTAAACTATTGAACTAAATGTTAAATTTTGTCAATTTGGCAAAGGGTTGGAGTATATCATAGAGAACTTGTAGTTGACTGGACAGTAGTACAGCACTGGGAGATGACTAGTATAGAGATAAAAATTGATGTCAGCAACACATTCAGTCATTAATTTGACAGTTTTGCCATAATTTGGATGTGAAATAGTAGTCAAATAACAATCTCTATGTATGTTATCCACTGAAGTCTCTGAGATTCAAACCAATTTGATTGCATCGCACGTATTGCTAACAATAAAACACTAAATAACACATAAATAACATAATAAACGATTATTATAAGAGCTTATGTGTGACTAAATAGGAAATTTTTTTTTGGATTAATGTAACTTATATTACATATAAATCTATATATATATACAGTAAGCAAACACACACATACATACACACATGTATCCAAACATAGATTATATATAAGATATCATGAGAGTAAATAAGTAAGAAATTACTATTCAGAAAATGAGTCAAATTTTATTATTTGCTTATTTGTTGTTATAATACAACACAACCAACAAATGCAAAGAATATTCCGTTAATTTTATTCCTTATTTCCTCTAATTCTATGCCTTCAGTGTTGCGAAACCTCAACAAAAATATTGTGAATATATTATTAGTGAATTAAATTATTTGACGTCAAATATGCCAAGTATTGGATATTTATTTATTTATTTTTATTTTAAAAAGCAATTGATTTGATTTAAAAAACAACTTAAGACTGACTATTGATTGCCTATTTGTAGTTAAAATATTGATTTTTGTATTTGTTATGACTCTAAAAATGTGCATAAAATGTGTTTTTAGTGTATTGCGAGATGTAATGACTCAAAACATTATGATTTGTAAACACATTTTGGTCTAAAAAAGTTATTTTAAGGTAATAAAGGGGGTATTAAATCATATTTAATCAGGGGTTTATGAGTAGTGTATGTGTGTGAAACAGAGAGAGAGAGAGAGAGAGAGAGAGAGAGAGAGAGAGAGAGAGAGAGAGAGAGAGAGAGAGAGAGAGAGAGAGAGAGAGAGGGAATGATGGATAGCTATAAAATAAGTGGTACTCTATGTTTGCTTCAAATAACTTGTAATGCAATTACTAATTACACTGTTTGTCATAAATATTATACAGAATATTATATTTGTTATTAATTTTTTGTTAAATGAAATAATATTGATTTTTATATTATCCATTATAATTAATTACTCAAAAAAGTTTGAGGAGATTTGTTAAAATGTTAAATACAGTATATTACTGTAAGTACTGTATATAAGTTTAGATTTTAATTGATTTATCTTTTCCAGACAATACACGAATATCAATATAAGTATAACTTAATCAAAATGACTAACAATATTAAAGATGCAAAAAAGTTTGTTTGTTATTATACGCTTGAATTTCATTTAAGTGTTAGGAAAATATTTATATTTTGTTTAGTGATATCTGATGTGTGATGGGTTAGCATACATATTGATAGGTCACACCATATCATACTATACTACTGTATATATCATACAAATATATTGGTAGCCAAACAATGAGTCCATTTGTATAGCAGTTTACTGACTGAATGAATAAATTGATAAAATTGTAGACTTTTTTTCTTCTTTTTCTACGGGTTTCTATCGATATATTATTTGTTTAACAAATAATATGATATATGCGGACGTGTTTGGAGTCAACTATTTTTATTATAAATGTTTAACACATAAACAACTATACAGTAGTATATATATACTATATATGATATTATAATATATATAGTAAAATACTAAAGTATGCACACAACGGTATGTATGCGCTTA